AGATTTTTCAAAAATTATTGTAATTTTATAAAAATTGATTGGCCAATTATCACGTGTACGGATATGACCAATTATTTAATTTCAAGTGATTGATTATCCCTGTATTTTTATTGGACAGATCGGTCCTGAGTCACAAATTTTAAATTTGGAAGGCTTGTGTAACAATGAATGTCCACCATGCAGGAATGGGCAAAGTAATTTATTAAGTAATATAATAATTACTTATTACTTATCGTTTAATTGATATTAGATAATATTAATTAACGTTAAGTAAATTCTTATTTATTACTTTCACATGATGACAGCGATAAGAATGATTAATTAAAGCTGAGATTAAACAAATATGTAAATTTTTGTCATTAAGAATACATAAATTTACCCATTTCTGCGTTAGAAAGATCAAATTTTACACTTTGATTGGCTGTTCGTCACGTGAACAAACCTGGTCCCTTTTTTGGTTTGTATCACTCGCAAAAATACTGGTAAGTAAATCGGGCAAGCGACGTAGTACAATGCCGGAAAAACAATTTCTTTAAAAAATGGCAAAGTGGCTTCTCGCGAGGGTACACGAAAAACGAATAAACCAATTAAAACTATATCAGCTTAAATAAAATTCGGAAATAACAAACAGTAACGGTAAGATGTTTCATAGTTTTATTCTGGTAATTTATGAGCATTGATTGCGTTAACTCTGTAACACGATTCATGGAAAAGATATTATGCGTGCACACCCAATTAATTGCAAGATTTTGGGTTCCAAAACCTAAACTCTGTGATATTATATATCACTCAGTTCAATATCTCCACCAGTTATATATTAAGCTTTAAAAGCATAAAATATCCAGCTAATATGTACCACAATATAGCTAAAAATATATATCTATAAATGTTAATAAGTGTACCGGTTGCTGATAAAACTTATTAGATTTGAAACTTCCTCCTAAACTTTTTACTCCGAGGTTTATAATGTCTTCCAGGTTTGAACATCAAGATTTAGTGCTCGTAGAAGCAAATCCGGAACAAGCCAAAATGTAATAATAGTTTATTATCATAAATAATTTATAAATTAATCATCTAATAGCTTTCCCTTGATTCTTTAGCACTAATCGCAATTCATATATGAGTTGGGGTTATCCAGTTTTAACTATAGGAGAATACATAAAACGTGAAGAGATACTTGCAAATAACGAATTTACATCAGAAAATTTTAAAGTCTGGATTCTGATTTCAAGAAAAAGCAGCGTCAATTGCAATTCTACCACATTAAATGATACTGAACCTGAAATCTTTTCACAATGCGAAACATTTAAGCGTAAAACTTTAATAACATTATCACCCGGACAAATTAAAGAAGAAATTTGTTATTGCATTACAGCTTTGTTCACTCCTCCTAAATATCGGCACAAGGGTTATGCTACGACAATGATGAAAATATTGGACAATAAATTAAGATATGAATACAAGGCTACATATTCATATTTGTATTCCGAAATTGGGCCTGATTTTTATTCTAGATTAGGATGGAAAATTTTTGCGCATAAAGAGATTAGGTTTAAAGTTGACGGTAAATTTTCAGCAACTTCAAGAAATTCTGAAACTATCGTTGCGATTAACCAATACAATTTAGAAAGTATAGTTAACAAAGATTGTGAAATTATTAAAAAAGAATTAATGAAATTGAACAAAAAAAGCGTAGTAATATTACCCACTAAACCTGCTTTTGACTGGTTGTTTCAAAAAACCAAATTTTATTCGAAATTCCATTCAGATACCGATGACCCAAGACTTTTTGGTGCCATGATTTTGAAAAATGGATTTGTCAATGAGAATGATAATGAAGAAATGCTTAAAGGATTCATTATGTGGAATCATGACTTTAAAGAAAATGAATTACTAATTGTCAGATTTCGTAGTGAATCTCCATATATGACGCGATTATTGCTCCAACAGGCTATGCACGAAGCTATTAAATTTCAATTAACACAAATTGTTTTATGGAACCCAGACTTAAAATTATTTAGTATCTCAGAAGACATAAATATCTTTAACGGAATAGTTGTTGAAAGAACTGAATCACTACCATCTTTGGCGTGGTATGCAGATGATGATGATGATGTGGATTGGATATTGAATGAAAAATATATTTGGGTTTAACTATTAAAACGATATTTTTCTCTTAAAACTCAAAGGCACTAACTAGCATTCATGTCATTTGATTCAAAGTATTTAAGATATCGTTTTTAAGTGTAAAACATATCTAAATTTTTTTTGCTTTATCATTTTTATGTATATCAATATTACTTAAATCATTTATAATATTAAATTTATTATTCGTATATTATATTTTATCAGCGAAATAAATGACAATAATTGTTTTTTAAATATCACCATAGAACTCTATTGAAATTACAGTAATATGAACAATAATGTTGCTCAAATAAGCTATTTTTCAAAATTAATCTACAATTTTCTAAAATTAATTAAAAACTTAATTTTAATAAATAAATAATTTCTCCAAAGAAAAGGAGTTTTAGTGAAATATTTCAAATTAATTGTTAAGTTCTAACCACTAATATTTAATTGTAATTGGCTCCATAATTACTAATAACCATACTAATTTGCTTACTATCATGTTCTATAAAAGCTTCTGTTATTTTTTTTGTTATTTCTTTTGTGTTTATAAGCTTACTAGTGTACATGGATTCTGGGTGTTTTCGTTCGACAACTGGTAGTGATTTGATTATTTTGTCAGCAGTCATAAATTTGTCTTTTATATTGATTTCCTCGCCAGATACTATTTTTTTCATCAGAATAATCTGCCATTGGAAAAGTTTCAAACCAACGTCTTTAGCAGTAGGTCGTTTTTTTGGATCTGGATCCATGCATTGTCTAGCCAATTT